ACATAAATTTTATATAAATAAAAAAATATCATTAATCTTTTAAAATATTTTTTACTTTTATTTATATTTGAACTTTTTATTATGTAAACGGTGGAGTGTTTTCTATACCCCAGAGGATTTCATTAAGCTGCAATACTATGTATGTGCGTGTCGAAACGGCTTTCTGTTGTAGATTATGTTCCGGAAACTTCAATTGAAAGATAGGTATAAATTCCCGGTCGGTAAAGAAAGCTACTGTAATGTGAGCTTTGTTTTTCCGACGCTGGGATGTAAAAAATACAAGCACTCACGTGCTTGTTTTCGGATTAATCACAAAAGGAGGATGTTAAAAAAAGGTCAATTTTTGCCCATAAAGGTGTAAATAAAAAGAATCGCGTTTTTTATTTCCCGAATTTTGATTTCCCGAATGTGATAAAAAAAAAAATTAAAAAGTTCTTTGTATTCACACTCAATCGATTTGTTTACCATATTATTATTTGTTTAATAATATTCGAAATACATGCAAGGTGATATGGAAAGTATTAGAAAGTGCTGACATACAAATAAATAATTTTAAAATCGAATTGTAAAATCTAAACGCTTAAGCGATATATTTTGTAAATATATCGTAGTCTCTATAATAGTTGAAGTAAATAATTGTATCACACTTTTTTAAATGAATTTTAGGAAGTGATTCAAATTAGATTGAAACAAAATGTGTAGAATTTGGCTATCGATATATTATGTAAATCAAAAGTTGCATTAGAACAGTAAGTAATAAACAATCAATTTGTCTTCCGCCGACCGATGTGCATTGCGATAGGCGTGCATGCACGCGATATTTAGTATTGTTTTCGTGTCATTACCCATGCAAATAAAAGGATACAAGGAATAAATAGCGGGAAAAAAATAAGAAGAACGAAAGATGAATAACAACAAATTATCATGTAAAGTAAAAGAAGAAGGCATCAACATCTGCGATTGGTTTTTATTAGTTATGTGTTTATCATGTTTTCATCAGTAACGCATTTAAAACATTTTCTCTTCCATTGAGATTATAGTGGATTTTATATCAATTGCAATATGTAAGTACAGATATAAATATCAGTATTATGCTAAAAGTGAAGGTAAGAAATAAAAAGTTTTTAAATTAAAATGATGTTGAGCTTTTTATGCATTATAGTACGTGATATAATATGTTCCAAGCATGATACAAATACTAACGGAATTTGTGATGTATAATGATTAAATGATAATGAAAAGTATGATAAAAGTGAAAAACATTTCGATCTTTACAACAACAAATTTGGTTCCTTTATCCGTCATTTGTTAATAAATACATAAATCATATTCATCTCAAATTCTAGCCGAATTATCGACACGTAATCGAAAGAAGATAATATTACATTTTTTAATGATATCATCGCATATGCCTGTACTTTGTTGCATTACGTAATATCGAAAAAACAACTTTCTTTGCATTTTAAATACATATAATGCCCGAAGCAGAGATACAATATTTTTAAGTCAGCTTCTACCATGTGAAACGAATTTTTCTTTCTTTATACCATTACTTGTTTTTGTCAGAAAGGAAAGATATGGTGACTAAATAGATATGTTATTGTAAAAAGAGAATAAACAGAATAAGAGGTGAATGGCAACAAGTTTTCGCGAATAAATCCGTACGAAATGAATAGTCGATATGAATTATTCTTTCTTATTAATGACGGATATTTCGGCTACAAAAGTAGATATGTTGTAACACAAATAATTCAAGTTTAATGTTCATTTTAAATAATTTCAAATAATTTAAATTGAATGTGTTAAGTCAATTGATTCTGTTTTATTTAATGCAAACTTAACAATTTGTTAAATAGTTTTTTTTTTAGATCTCTTAACCAATAAAGTTTACGATCGCATTATCATAATTTTGCATGCGCGCGCGCGCGCGCGCGTGTGTGTGTGTGTCATAGACATGTCATGTATATATTATGTTATATTTACATTGATATACATTAACAATTTGTGTTTCGCAATGAAAATCAGAGAAAATATCTCTTTTATAAATATACATACTTTATGGAAATATACACAAAGAGTTGTGTTGTATCTTATTATTTTAATCAGCAATTTGAAATTATTTATAGCGTCAAACGATTCTTTTTTTTCTTCTGAAAATTGTAAACCACAAACAGATGTAATATGGAAATGGATGCAAATCGTAAAAGGAATCAGTGTACGCTCGCAGTACACTCTATCCGTAAAATAGCTTACGGTAATCGATATTCAGTCTATAAAATAAAGCTGTAGTTTACGATTACTTTGTGATCAGTATGTTCGCTATAAATGTAGCTTGTATAGTAATGTTTGTGTATATGATATATTACTTAATAAAATAAGAAATACTTTAATCTTTCAAACACTTTAACATCTTTTAATCAATCATCTATCTGCCTTTTTTTAGTTGATGTATTTAATGGATTTTCGTTATCGATTTTATTATGATCAAATTATCGTGACAACCAACATTAAATCTATAAGTGATTTTACATTTCACTCGAGCGAGATGATAAAGAATTGTAATTCACGGTGATTCGAATAAACTAGCACCCGGTAAAGCACTTAGATAAATGAATCCGTCGAGATTTTAGTCGTTAAAGTACAGTACGGCTTTGCGTACGTAGATCACACAGCCAGCACTTCTGTGACGGTTTTATATCTCACAGTTTACTAGCAATCGTCATTCGCAGATTTTACAATGTCTGGTTTACGGGCTTTCAACGAAGCGTATCATCCCAAAGAGAGTGTTTTCCTTCCGTATTTTGTACCAGTACGCTTCTCTGTTTCTATCGTTTACGATATAGGTCATATCATTGTGAAATGCACTCAAAGGAGGTGTAGGTATAGGTATTACACGGCTGCAATTCTGTGAGAGCGATATGCGTTAAAAGAAAGGATGTAAGAAACATAAAAAAAAATGAATTCAACATAAAAGCAACATGAAATAGCTATGACAGCGAACGAGTATACGAATATGATATTGGTAAACGAGGACAGAATATCTTGAAAACTTGTTTCAACGAACCAGCTTTTGTAATGTGCTAAGATTTGCAACTATCAAATATTTCCAGTTTGTGAATGTACATTTAGCAATACACAAATTGCATCCAGATTTATCTTAGATTGATATAATCGAGCCTTTTATTTTGTGCTTTACTATGATTTATGTGCGTGCGTGTACATCTATATAACTATTTTGTATCTCTCTAAATCGTGTTTTATGTTATTAAAAAAAAAAAACTATATTGCATAGTGACTTTTTTTTATTTTATATGAACAAAAAATAGAAGCGACTCTGTATCTAGCGGAAATAACGGTTAGAGCGACAGACAAATTTGACAAAAAAAGTGGATGGAAGAGGAGACTGCTAGGATAATAGGACGAACACATGGATACTTAAGCGATAGTCACACAAGTACAGACGAGAGAAAATACACAAGATGGAAAAGAAGGAGAGGAAAGGAGAGGGGCGGAGGAAAGGGGGGGGGAGAGAAAGAGAGAGAGCCAGTCTCCTTTTATCCCGCCCTTTAATCCTTTTATGCGCACAGGCATCAGCGCCGACTGTATTCCAACGTATCTCGGCGTAACTTGGTATATGTAATGGGGCATACGATGCGTCTAGACAAAATAATGATTTGGATTTCAATACATTTGCATTCATTACCCCGGGGTACTACTCTCCTGTTCACGGTCCGCGATCCGAGCGATCTCTTCTTTCGCCATTTCGTATTTCGCAAAGGTTCTCTCGTTATCATACGAATGCTCTACTCGTATCGACGGCGATGGCGCTCATTTTATCACCGCTGAAATGCGACAGGCCAGAATGTCCAAAACTAAATTGGTACGCGATGAGAAAGAGATCATGGATTTTCCGCGATTATTCGACTAATGATTCGAGCGCACATTCATCTTTTTCTCTTTTCTTTATAGTTTTTATTCCTTTCACATAGGCATGAATTGATAATTGTGAATTTATAATTCGAAATTTATACCTCTTACGACCCATTCGATACTACAAATGCTTTGAAACATTCTTTGATTGGTCAATTAATTAGTAGTAAGACAATTAATTCTTTCTTCTAATTGGTCAGTGAAATATTTTGAAATATTCGTAAAATGGACCGCACCCTATATTTACTAATTCGAAGTATTTGATGTGTGACGTATGTACATACAATTTCAAGTCTTGAGTTGCAAAATTACACAATCGATTCTATCTATACATTTTTCATTTCTTCTTTAGCAAATTATTACTGTGTGATATCTAAGCTATTTGTTCATCACAATCTTTCACATTGATAATAAATTGTTTTCAATTTTTCTCCTGAGTTTTCTTTCAAGTAATAAAAATTTTATTTAAGATTAAAAATGTGTGCAAAAAGAATAAATCTTTTATAAATCATTATAAATATTGTATTAACATATTGCGATAATCAAAATAAATTATATATAATAAAGAAGAAAGAACTTACAGGTTCTGTCCTTCCATCTCCATCTTTGCCCA